AGTCCTTATGTATCGTACCGAATACGGCACAGCCATTCCTAACAGCACAATTACTGTATTCCACACTTGAAAAGCAATCACATGGCAGCAGAAAGCCCCGAAGACTGAAGGCTGCCTTTATTGCAATCCAAATGGAAATGACTGTGCTTGTGAATAAAAATAATACATCATGGGACCTCCTTTGCCAGTACCAAAATATGAGAATAGGTTTTCCCCTTTTTTCTGGCAGCAAAATAAGTGTTAAGATGTTAAAACACCAAACTGAAACCTTTTACAAGGAATCATGTCTGCATTAGCCACAATACTTGTGGTCAGAATGCAAACAAAAAAACACTCTGATAATATATGCATTGTCCTTGAAAAAGATTGGTCCACACCAGAGACAGCTTTCTTTCGAACCTCGTCTCAAACGGTGTTAGACCAGAGGACGCCAAAAAACAAGTTTTAAAATAGTTTGAAAAAGGAAGAAATATTTAGGCAAAAATTTGCTTAAAAAAATTGTAATGAGACTTCTGAAAGGCCGATTAAAACAAATTCACATCATTAGAGCTCGATGTTAAAACCGCTCCGTTTTGCCACATGCGAAATTCGAGTGTTGCATAAGCTGAAACTTTCGGAAGCAAGCATCAAAACGGCTGCCTGTGTCGCGTGAAGCTTGAGGACACACGCGTGACTTCACAGGACGCAACGGACTGTTAACAAAATTACAAAGGAAAATGTTGAAGCTAATTTGACGAAACATTTCTTGTGGAATACCCTTTTCACGCAACAACTTAAATGTCACTAAACCACGAGCACTTTAATGGCAGCACTAAAGAGTACCATTCCGTGGCTAGCAAAGACACGAAATCTTAAACAAAGCTATAAAAATTGCACGCTTACAACATTATATGTTGACTGGAGCTTTATTATGGTCTCTCATGAAAATTAAACAAGTTATTTATCAAGCGGTTTCACGACGATCAGAATGAGAAAGCAGCCGCTGGACACGAGGCCATTCACCATACCGTAAATACTGAGGGTGCTATCAGCAATGCTGATAGCAGGAAGAGAGGAAAACAGATTGCCCTATCTATACGGGAAGTCGGCACAAATCTCACCTCCGCATCCCCCCGAAACATCCTCACCACGCAGATAGAGACATCCTCGTGTCATTGCTGGCAAAATAGATGGTGCACCAATTTTCCCGTCGAGATAGGAGCTGGGGGGGGGGGGGGGGGGGGGTCTCTGAATATTGGGGCTGAGCTTGTGGGCGTGGGTTCCCACTCAGGAGAATGGGTGATCGAGGGAGTTGAGGGGCCGGGTGATTAGTGGGCAGTCGTGTGATGATGGGGGCTGCTGTGGGTGGGCGAGAGTTCTGTTGGGTTCAGAGTTACAGGGCACACATTTATTTTGGGAAGGGTATCCATGGCCAAAGGATGCTGTCGTGCTGTAATTGTTAGCACACTGGACTTGCAATGCAGAGGTCAGCGATTTGACCTCCTGGCATGGCAGTTAAACAACGGACAAGTTTGTTATATGCCCCCGCTGCCCGTCTCTGTCCACCCAGCAATTATAAATGAGGAGTGCAGATCAGTGGGGTAAAGCCTGGATACTCCCATCTCTTCCAAGACATCTGGCTACTGTGCCACGGTGGCGAGATGTTAACTACCTTGCCTGGTATACAGGAGGTCGTGGGTTCGATCCTGACCCTGACGCCTGCTGCTGTATATTTGGAGTTTGTGTGTCTCTCTACCCATGGTCGCGTGGGATTTGCTCCAGGTCCTCTGGTTTGTCCCTCCACATTTAGAATCAACGTGCATTTAGAGTATATGTCTGCTATACATTTCCACTTGATGATAAGCCACTTCATTGAGCTATCATTTGTGGTCAGGTCGCTTCTGAAAAATAGCTACATAGCTCAGTATGTCTTACCTGGTGTACAATTAAACATTGTTTAGTCTAGTGGACCAAAATACCATCTAGCAGAGCTTCAGAGCACTCTATCATGAACAAGTAATTCAATGCTGAACCTTACCTTTAACCGATCTATGACCATTTGTGACCAGTCCATGGGTGACAGGAAACCATCCACATTCATGGTGGTCAGATTTTGGTTTATATAATGCATCGGATTTACATGAAACAGTTCAAATTTTATTTGCTTAGATTGCACATACATTACAAAGAAAATCATGGCTTCTAATATAAACGCCAAATTAGCACATAATATACAAAATATGTTTCATATGTTTTATTACAATAAAACCTTGAAATAATGTTTCGGGCTACAGGCCAAGTGGAATGTAAGATGCAGGGAATTGTTAAATCAGGACTCATTGACTGTAATTGTCAGTGGGCATATTTTTAGGACTTCAAAAATGAGATGTTAGCTAGGGGAAAATGCACAAAGTGGGAACAATATAATACGGTTTCATTGCGCTTGGAAAATTTCGATATCTTCTGTTGGCAAGTTAGGCAAAATATATGAAATGTAATGTATTGAAATGTAGTAAGTGTTTTTCACAGCTGTTTTTTTCTAAGAATTGTGACCATTTTGATAAATAAAATGAATACATTAATACACGCAACCCCACATCTAGGTTATTGGCAATATTTTTGCACTTGTTAAATAAAAATCATTCGATTTATCCAAGTGAGTGTCACAACAGCCCCACCCCACGCCCCCCACCCCACCCCACCCCACACACCCCACCCCCCACACCCTTAACCCCCCCCACCCCACACCCAACACCCCCCACCCCCACCCAACACCCCCACCCAACACCCCCACCCAACACCCCCACCCAACACCCCCCACCCCCACCCCCACCACACACCCCCACCCCACACCCCCACCCAACACCCCCACCCAACACCCCCCACCCAACACCCCCACCCCACACCCCCACCCAACACCCCCACCCAACACCCCCCACCCCCACCCCTCACCCAACACCCCCACCCAACACCCCCCACCCCCACCCCACGCCCCCCACCCCCACCCCCACCCCTCACCCCACACCCCCACCCAACACCCCCACCCAACACCCCCACCCCACACCCCCACCCAACACCCCCACCCCACACCCCCACCCAACACCCCCACCCAACACCCCCACCCAACACCCCCACCCAACACCCCCCACCCCTCACCCCACACCCCCACCCAACACCCTCCACCCCACACCCCCACCCAACACCCCACCCAACACCCCCACCCAACACCCCCACCCAACACCCTCCACCCCACACCCCCACCCAACACCCCACCCAACACCCCCACCCAACACCCCACCCAACACCCCACCCAACACCCCCACCCAACACCCCACCCAACACCCCACCCAACACCCTCCACCCCACACCCCCACCCAACACCCCCACCCAACACCCCCACCCAACACCCTCCACCCCACACCCCCACCCAACACCCCACCCAACACCCCACCCAACACCCTCCACCCCACACCCCCACCCAACACCCCCACCCAACACCCCCACCCAACACCCTCCACCCCACACCCCCACCCAACACCCCACCCAACACCCCACCCAACACCCCACCCAACACCCCACCCAACACCCCCTACCCCCACCCAAAACCCTCCACCCCCCACCCCTCGCACCCTACAGCCGTCACCTTCGGTGCTTCCACTCTGCCCGGCGACAGCACGCGAGCTCCAGGTCTCATCAATCCAGTGCCGGGCCACCCCCACACGCTCGGAGCCACGCCTGTATATACCAGTGATTAATAACAAACAGCCACACACGTCAAGTATATATATACACACACACAGGCACATTCTCATGCCACACCGTTCAGAATCCGAAAGGGACAAAATCATATTCGACTGGAGGCAAACTAAGCGACGAGAATGTTTGCCGCTGTGTTGGTGTTTGGGATTCTGTTGACGGCTCGGGCTTTTGGTAAGCCGCACCTTGCCGCGGTAATTAGTAAGCGCGTGCCTGTTTGTAACTGTACTTTGTAAACAAAGAAACTATTTAAGTTTGACTTTCTGTAAAATTGAGGAATTTCAGGAAACTGAATTGTAATACAAATGAAAGTGGTGTACATTTTAATGGGCGTAAAATTGCATTTGGATGCCGTTACAATGCATCCAATTAATCTGTGGGTCAAATGCAAAAGGTTCAAAGCATTTTCATTGGGCCCTGGTATTCATTTCACTTTTAATTTAACCTCAACACCGCAGCTAAGTCCCAAACTTTCTCATTTGACACGAGTCGTGACGTAATTTTAATTTTTTAATCAACACTTTAAGTGTTGATGCTGAAATGAAATGTATCCCCCAGAGTGAAATAAAACTGTTTGTCGAGCGACAAGAGCAATAGAATCAGGGCAACTGGAGATTGTGTACCGCAAAGATGCAGAATGAACTCGACTATTGTTTGACACTTTTTTGAATAATCTCAGCGATGCTGTCGTGGTGCCATGGTTATCGCACTGGAAATGCAACCCAGCGGTCGCCAGCTCGATCAATTTCCTGGCGCGGCAAACCGAATTTGTGGCAGAAATTTTTTGAAATCCCCCTGCCGCTGTCTACCCAGCCAGTTTAACCGAGTAGGCCACAGGTGGCGTGTCGCGGGAAATCATGTGGGTACTCCAACCTCATCTAAGATGTTTGACCAGCGTGGGAGAGTAGGTACAATATGCTCTGGAGAGGCCCTCCACAGCTTCCCTCTCGTTGAGGCCCTTCTGCCAGCAGTGACGTGAGCACGTACGTTGAACTTCTTTCCCATCGTACTCGCTAATCGGAGGCGCGGGTGGAGGACAACAAACTAAAGACAAAAACGCATTTCTAAAGAAATGTGTTTTCAAACTAGAATTCAAAAGGGCACAGCTCCAGTGGCTTCCTAATTTCGGACGGAAGAGCGTTCCAGACGGCCGCAGAGAAGCGCTCCTGAAAGCGCCGCGCGCCGCGGGGTGACCACCTCCGTTCGATGGCTGCGCCTTTAGCGTTCTCTTTTTTTGTTAACCCCCCCCCACCCAACCCACCCCGTCTTCTCCACTCCACACCTGTAACCTGCCCACCCGAGACGACCGAGTGCTGTACGCGGACCTGGACCCGTGCACCTCGTACATCAGCCTCAGCGAGGAGTGGCGGAACACCGAGTTCGCCATCAACGGCAGCAACGGCAAGCCGGCGTGCGACCGGGACATGGCGGGCGAGTGGTACCGCTTCACCGGGCTGGCGGGCGACGTCATGCCCACGTTCTGCGTCGACGAGAACCACTGCGGTACGCACGCGCCCGTCTGGCTCAACGGCACGCACCCGCGCCTGCTGGACGGCGTCGTGAGCGTGCCCGCCTGCGCCGCCTTCCGCGACAACTGCTGCATGTGGCAGTCGACGGTGGACGTGAAGGCGTGCTCCGGTGGCTACTACGTGTACCGCCTGCCGCGCCCGCCCGTGTGCTACCACGTCTACTGCGGACGTAAGTTGCCCTCCCGGGTGGGCTTTCGCGCGGGGCGATTTGTTGCGACGACCGGTGGCACGCGCCCGCGTGTGTGCGTGTGTGTGCGTGGTGACTCGCGGGGAAATGTTTCACCCTCTTGCTGCGCTCTCAGTGTTGTTTACTGCGTGTTGTCCGACGGTGGCTAGGAGATGTTAACTACCTCGCCTGGTGTGCAGGAGGTTGTGGGTTCCATCCCGACCCTGACGCCTGCTGGATATTTGGAGTTTGCATGTCTCTCTCTCTCTCTCCTGGTGGTCGCGTGGATTTTCCTTCTTGTTCTCCCTCCACATTTGGAAACAACGCGCGTTCAGAGTATTTGGCTGCTAAAAATGTCGACATGGTGATAAGCCACGTCGGTGAGCGATCATTTGAGGCCACGTCGCTTCTGGAAAAAGAGATATATCGCGCAATGAGGCTTACCTGGTAAAATAAAGAAGTTTAGCTTATATTCTTAGTTTTTTCGGTAAAGTCACGTTGAAGGGAAACAACAAAATAATAAAATATATATAAAACGTGACTTTACCGAAAAAACTAAGAATATGAATTACTGCAGTCACGAAAGCTTTAAATCAAAAGTTTAGCTTACTTAAGCTTGGAGCTTTGTAGTGCTACTGAATTTTAGTAACGCACTTCGGTTCCCGAAGAAGTTTCCGGCATGCGAAGCGAAAGGTTGGACATTGCGCCGAACAACAAGCAGAAGGAGCCCAAAGCGCATCATGGTCATGCCAATGCAACTGCAAGAAAAATTACACAGCAGCTCTATCGCCTGTAACTGGTGCACGGTTAAACAGGGCTGTTTATGAGACTACGCAGCGAGGCCCAGCTGTGAAATGAAACATAATACGATGATTGATGATGCATTCTGATCTAAAGTCCACATTTGTAATTCCAGTGGTAAGTTGTCTGACGTTCGTAAAGCCGCAATTCCAAAATCGTCATCTCAATTACCCAATTTGTACTACATGAACACAGCGTCACCTTAAACTCAGGCTAAATTAATGTTTTGCAAAGTGTTAACTCTTTTTTAAATTATGATTCATAATTTAAAGAGACCATTGCACACACGAACTCCGCAGCACAAGACCACAACAAATATACCGCATCTGTCTTCCACAGATGAGATGAACAGGCAGTTCTAGATTTAAAGCTTTCGTGACTGCAAGGATCCATACTCTTTGGTTCTATTCGGTAAAGTCACGTAAAAAACAAAAACAAAAATTCACGACGTTTCGGCCACAACACAAGTGGCCTTCATCAGCTTAAAGGTCGCGGTCTGAGCTTGGCTGTGTTCACTCCAGCGCTGTCCTCTAGACAGTCTGCTCCCTTTTTTGCGTGACTTTACCGAATAGAACCAAAGAGTATGAACAGGCAGCTTTGCACAATAATATTGGCTCGTAAGTTTACATCATTTGTGATTACTACATACCTCGTAAATGTCTTGGGTTTCGTAAAAAAAACTGCCCTAACTTTCTAAGCAGAGGGACAGAAAACATTTTATAAGGCGATTGGCACGTCATCATGTGAAATAAATCCTGCAATTTCCAAGTCTTTAGTTTTATGACGCTGACCGAAGGCTGCGTGCATCTAAGCAGTTTATGCGGCACAGACTGAAGCAAATCTTAGCATGTTCGTAAATAAATCACGATATAAACAATGGTCTGTGTCACCACGTAAAAGTAACGTCACATTTTACTCACCGCCAGACCACAAGCATGCCAGACCGCTGTAAACTACCGGCATTTGTTTTACGTGAGACAACCCTGAACCGCCTTTAACTTTCTGGTGCTAATCGGCAGTGTGGTCCGTTAAAGAAATGCTCCTTGGCTGCCTGAGGTTATAGGCAAGAGCTGTCCAGTAAGACCACACGACCCACGTAGCCAGTTCAGCGCTAACAAGGTGTTCGGAATGAAAACCACGACTAAAATGCCGTTCTATCCTTGCTTCTTGGCACAGATCATCATCTCTTTATTTGCGATCATCATATTAGCCGCAATCCACAATGACAGCACCTCCGAGAGGGTGATCAATTTATAGCTACCCTCCTGTTTTCTCATGATCCTCTGTCTTCTCAACGGGCGACTTAATATTGCGAAAGCGATCGCCTCCTCCATGTCCTATGCTACAGAGGGGAGTGCCGAACAATTTGACAAGTGCAACGAGCTTCGTGGGAGAGACGTGGCAGAGGCTTTGAGAAATTAAAAAAATCGTAGTTTTTCTCCGTAATCACTCTCTCTCTTATTACTTCCGTGGGGTATCCATGAACGGGTCACCCTGTACATTTTGTACAAATGAGCTCGTTGGTGGACAGACGCGCCGTGGTCGACTGAGTGCAGTGCCCTCCGCTGCTCTCCCCACAGACTTCTACGAGCCGTGCGAGAGAGACAGCTCCTCCTGCCAGGGAGAAGACTGCGCCCAACCTCCCAGCTGTCGCTGCGGCCATGGCATGCTGCTCGCAGAGGACGGCAACACCTGCATGGGTGTGTGTGTGGCGCGTGGCATGTGTGTGTCGTGTGTGTGGTGTGTGTGTGGTGTGTGTGTGGTGTGTGTGTGTGGTGTGTGTGTGGTGTGTGGCGTGTATGTGGTGAGTGGCGTGTGTGTGGTGAGTGGCGTGTGTGTGGTGTGTGTGGTGTGTGTCGTGTGTGTGGTGTGTGGTGTCGTGTGTGTCGTGTATGTGGTGTCACGTGATGGTGAGATGGTATTGTGGCGGTTAGCGCGCTCCGCTGCGACCCGAGTTCGATTCCCGCTCACGGCCAACACCAGTGACGATGATCTGAACTGGTCCTGGAGCTCCCTAGGTCGCCTCAGCCCCAAATGAGTACCTGGTGCGATGTGTAAAGCTCAGCAAAGACTAAGGCGTGGTGCTGGCCACTCACTAACAAGTGCTGTGAGCACTTGCCCCAAAAGTCTATTCAGGCTACACGGGGGATGTCTTCGTTGTTGTTGTTGTTGTCCTCGGTGTCACCGGAAGATGACGGTGCGCTTGGGACCGAGCCCGTCCACTCTTGGCACGGCTCTCTCGTGCGGAGGAGTGAATGTGGAGCGAGGGCTGCGTCGTTGTGTCCACCGCTGTGGTCTGCTCCGTGGCCTTGAGTCCGTTGTGACAATTCACCACGGCACTAGAGACTCTCCCCTCCCACACGCTGTTGGGCGCCGTCGGGGTTAGTTTGACCGTACTTCGCTCTGCCGGTCGGTGCGCATTGATGAAGACGTGGGAGCAGCAAATTGAAGTTCCCATAGCCACGGTTTACGTGGTGTGTTTATTTCTGCACTGCCCTCTGCTGCCCGGACCTGTTGTGCTTCGGTGATCGAGCCACCCAACGCGCGCCATGCGGGCTCGCTTCCTGAGATTTGATGAGATCGGGCGCATTCCGGGTGACATTAGTTGCGGGCGGTCTCCATTGGTAGGCACTGAATGATTGAGCGATTAAGAACGATGGCTTGCGCTCAAGATTCGCACTTGGGTGGGTGAGTTCTACAACAGGCTTGTTGTTCTAGGATGTAAAAGGAAACGGTCGTTACTGCACTTTATATGCTACCACTTATAAACAAAATACAGTGAGGGAAAACAGTATTTGAGTCCCTGCTGATTTTGTACGTTTGCCCACTGACAAAGAAATGATCAGTCTATAATTTTAATGGTAGGTTTATTTGAACAGTGAGAGACATAATAACAACGACAAAATCCAGAAAAACGCATGTCAAGAATGTTATAAATTGATTTGCATTTTAATTAGGGAAATACGTATTTGACCCCTCTGCAAAACATGACTTAGTACTTGGTGGCAAAACCCTTGTTGACAATCACAGAGGTCAGACGTTTCTTGTAGTTGGCCACCAGTTTTGCACACATCTCAGAAGGGATTTTGTCCCACTCCTCTTTGCAGATCTTCTCCAAGTCATTAAGGTTTCGAGGCTGACGTTTGGCAACTCGAACCTTCAGCTCCCTCCACAGATTTTCTATGGGATTAAGGTCTGGAGACTGGCTAGGCCACTCCAGGACCTTAATGTGCTTCTTCTTGAGCCACTCCTTTGTTGCCTTGGCCGTGTGTTTTGGGTCATTGTCATGCTAGAATACCCATCCACGACCCATTTTTAATGCCCAAGATTTTGACGGTACATGGTTCTCACCCAAGATTTGACGGTACATGGCCCCGTCCATCGTTCCTTTGATGCGGTGAAGTTGTCCTGTCCCCTTAGCAGAAAAACACCCCCAAAGCATAATGTTTCCACCTCCATGTTTGACGGTAGGGATGGTGTTCTTGGGGTCATAGGCAGCATTCCTCCTCCTCCAAACACGGCGAGTTGAGTTGATGCCAAAGGGCTCCATTTTGGTCTCATCTGACCACAACACTTTCACCCAGTTGTCCTCTGAATCATTCAGATGTTCATTGGCAAACTTCAGACGGGCATGTATATGTGCTTTCTTGAGCAGGGGGAACTTGCGGGCGCTGCAGGATTTCAGACCTTCACGGCGTAGTGTGTTACCAATTGTTTTCTTGGTGACTATGGTCCCAGCTGCCTTGAGATCATTGACAAGATCATCCCGTGTAGTTCTGGGCTGATTCCTCACTGTTCTCATGATCATTGCAACTCCACGAGGTGAGATCTTGCATGGAGCCCCAGGCTGAGGGAGATTGACAGTCCTTTTGTGTTTCTTCTATTTGCGAATAATCGCACCAACTGTTGTCACCTTCTCACCAAGCTGCTTGCCAATGGTCTTATAGCCCATTCCAGCCTTGTGTAGGTCTACAATATTGTCCCTGACATCCTTGGAGAGCTCTTTGGTCTTGGCCATGGTGGAGAGCTTGGAATCTGATTGATTGATTGCTTCTGTGGACAGGTGTCTTTTATACAGGTAACAAGCTGAGATTAGGAGCACTCCCTTTAAGAGTGTGCTCCTCATCTCAGCGTGTTACCTGTATAAAACACACCTGGGAGCCAGAAATCTTTCTGATTGAGAGGGGGCCAAATACTTATTTCCTTCATTAAAATGCTAATAAATTTATAACATTTTTGACATTCGTTTTTCTGGATTTTGTTGTTGTTATTCTGTCTCTCACTGTTCAAATAAACCTACCATTAAAATTATAGGCTGATCATTTCTTTGTCAGTGGGCAAACGTACAAAATCAGCAGGGGATCAAATACTTTTTTCCCTCACTGTAAAAGATTATTGTGCTCAAGATGCATGCATTGAAGTAGGTAAAGGATCGGCTATTGCTAATTTATCCAAAGCGTTCACGAATGTTACGAAGAATTGTCTTTATTTGTGTATATATATTTTTTTATTTCAACGGCGCAAACGAGAGACGAGACCAAACGAGCGGGAACGTGAGAGACGGTGGACTCGAAGGAGACATTAAAAAAGACGTGGCGAAACACGGCGACGTTTGAAACTCAATTACGTCAAATCGCTTGGGTTGGTGACGTTGCCTTTTGCTTTCGCCTTGGAGAGCAAGCCTCGTCAAGAAGGTGGCGGCTTTGCCGGATTGATGATTTGATTCCTCCAGCTGTGCTGTATTTTTCCCGGTTGGAATTACCAAAGCATACCATCTGCTGTCAAGCTGAAATTAATGGCAGCCTGTAACACGCTGGTGTGCTTATTTTGATTGGTAGACATAGCACGCTCGGGATGGTTATATATATGGTGTTTATATCAAACAATCTTAAGTGATTTTGTTCTTTTGATTTCAATCTGAAGTCGTATAAACCAGTGGTTAATAAAAAAAGAATCAATTTAATGTGTTCATTTCACTGGCTACTCGGATTCCATTGGGTCCAAGCAACTGGGATTTCGAGCCCATGCGCTACAATATTTTGTTAAAAGTGTTTGCGAGTGTTTGACGGGCGGTTTTTTTTTTGTATACTCGCAGCGTGTTGACTGCAAATGAGACGCGGCGGACAGACTCTCTCAACACGAAGTGGTTTTCGCAAACAGCCTCACCAATCGTTTTAGATGTTATTCCTACTTACCCGGGAAATCTCTCGAGTTTTCCGCAGTGAGCGGCGACGTTACCACGCGCAATTCTAATTGGGGCAATTCGCAAGTCAATTTTCAACGCTGGGACGTTTGTTCAACGCAACTCGGCACGCTGTATGCTTTGTTTCAGCTGTGGCAGGTGAAACGAAGAATTCGGAGGAAACCCCACGCATAGCAGGGGAGTGGGTGGGGGGTTGGAGAAAATACGGTACAATCCCCGCACAGATAGTTGCCCACTATGGGAATCGAACCCAGGGCCTTCTGGCATTCTGGCTGCAAGTTTTATCGTTGCGACAATGTATCACACTGCCGCCCAAGTTATTTCGCGTGATTTGTCCCGTTGAACATCTCGGTCCATTGAGGTTCGTGGAATATATATTTATTTTTAAGTCTCTCGTGGTCGCAATAAAGCAGATGTAACATATTGTAACCCGAGATGGCAATGATAACACCGCAGTGGAAGTCTAGAGGGATGTTTTAAATCAAGTAACTATCAGCTGGAGACCACCTGGAAAGCTGTGCTCTCAACGGTCCAAACAGCTGCTAGGAGCCAGGAGTGCATTGCCTCCAATAAATAGTCTACGTACCACAGCTTCAAGAGATGATATAGCGTTTACAGCTGTTCGTGTCCTGAAACTACAAAAGAAAGCAGATCGGTCGTGTGATATTACCTCTTTAAAGTCTCACGGGTTAAAAAAAAAACAACAACCCACCAGCTCAGAGTCTTACAATCGATGCTGTATGATTATCAGTGTCGCAATCCTATTAAGCGTTGCAAGAGATTCTGAATGGATCCTGCTCGTCACCGTTATCCCCAACGCAGGCTTATCTGGCATGCCGTTCCACAATTGGTGTGGTCATGACATCTGCACCAGCAATAATGACATCACACCTGGCCACGGCAGCTTTGGTGGAGGACACGTGGGAGTTTTACTCTTCTCCAGAGTCCAGCTGCGCTACAAGGGAAGAGACGCAACGACGCTAATAAGATGTCCGTGTTTTAAGAGCCGATGGATTGCGTGCATGTGGGGGGGGTGGGGGTGGGGGGCGCTGCGATGTCGCGTTCTGTGAAGCGGGCTTGGACGCTCGGCGCGTGCGGTGGCACAAGAAGGAAACTTCAGTGTCATGGAGCCGCGGCGAGCTTTGGACAACGCCTCGGGTCTCTCTCTCTCTGTGTGTACCCGGCAAGAGAGGCGTTTGGCTCGGCGCGCGTAGGTTTTCGCGGTTGTGCCGTTATGGCTCTCAGATTGTATTTATTATTTTATTTTCGCGTTGTGCGACCGCGTGTTGTTTCAGGCGCAATGGTTTACCCCCACCCCCACCCCCATCGATCCCATCCACGTTTCGCTCCGTGCGCTGATCAATTCCATTCCCAGAGGAAGCTTCTCGGGCACGTGGGAGCCGAGCAAAACGTCGGAGATCACGCCGAACGATTCAAACCTGAAAAACAATACACGAAGGGAGCTAAATGCAGGCTGCAAGCAAGACCACACTGACTTTCAAGCACAGCATGCCTTGATGGGAGCGGAGTGGTGGCACAGTGGATTCATGTCCTGCGTGGCATGAAACCTGGTGACCTGCGTTTGATTCCTGGCCACGGATAACATCAGTGGCGGTGGCTGATAGCCTGAACCGGTGCTTGGTCATCAAGCTGTACACTGACCAGCGCAGTGAAGTATGGTCAAGACAAAACACTATGACCGACACAGCGCCAAGAGGGGGAGGGTGGGGAGACCTTCATCCAGCAGTCAATTGTCAAAGGGCTGAGTAAACGTAATCCTGCCACACAAGTGGCCAGTTATTGACAACGCAGGAGACGTCGTGTCGAGGGAGAGGGGACTCCATTGCGCTCAGCCATCCCCGTGATAGCTTGAGGCCGAGGGCCATTTCATATTCGCTGCGTGTTTGTCGGGACTGCGTTGTCGTATGGAACGCGCGAAACAGATTCCCCCACCCTCCCTCTCTTCTCTTGATTATGTTTTAGAAGAGAAAAAGCACAGAAAAAACCCCCCACAAATCTATGCAAGAGCGAAGCTGTGCGTGGGAGCCACGGCGAGGGGGTTGCGGTGTGGGGGGGGGACAAGTCAGGGGGGCGGGCACGCGCGTATCGTGGCGCGTTACGTGCGCTCACTTGTGATGTATCGCTAAAACGGCTTATGGCATGCTGCAGCTCGGAGGGGAATAAATAAACCATGACAGTGCAATACTCAATATATATGAAAGTGCAAAGAAAGCAATTGGGTCAATATCTGCAGCGTGTGTGGGCGGGGAATAAATCCGTACGAGCCCCCCCTCCCCCCCTTTGTTTTCCTTGCCCCCCCCCCCACCTCCATCACTACCACCAGAAGTAAAACGCGAGTCTCATAAATATTACACGGTGGTGGTGGTGGGTGGCGTTTTTGCGTGAAATGTATTCGACTCTGCCCGTGCTGTGACTGTACGCGCTCTCCTCGCCAGACGTCAACGAGTGCGAGGAGGCGAATGGAGGCTGCGCCGAGGTGTGCGTCAACCTGCGCGCCTCCTTCCGATGCGAGTGCCCCGTGGGCCAGGTGCTGTCCCCTGACGGCCGCTCATGTCTGGGTGAGGGACAGAGGGCCGTGGGCCGCACCGGCGGGATCCCGCGGCACGTCTCGCGCGAGCTTCCGGAGATGCGGGCAGAACGTACGGAGTGGTATAATTTAAATTAAATAATTACATGACTTAATTAAGGCGGCGCACCAGTCACGTCCTTGCGTGACCCAGTTTTTTTTTAAAGTGCGCATTGCGCAAAAAAAAAGAAAGATTTTCTTCTCGGGGTTTTGTTGCAGGGAGTGCCGCTGCTGTCGTTTGCCGGATTCCACACTGTCTCGTCCTTTTCTTGAATCGGCAGGATCTACTGCAAACGTGGACTTGTCTAGATACAACGGGGTTTTCATTTCAACCGCGTGCTGCCTTACACAATCAGCCAACGTGCTAACAACACCCCCACCCACCTCCCCTCTCTCTCATCGCAATTCACACTGGTGCACTCTCTCGTCCTTTTTTTTAATAATCGGTAATATGTACCGCAAACGTGGACCTTGTCTCGATACAATGGGATTGCCATGTACTGCCACCGCTCCATGCCTAACACAATCTGTTACGATGACGCTGGCCTTTAGGGCCTTTAACCGAGGGGCGAATTCAAACTGAACGCCACAAATCTCCACTGTTGGCAATGCGGTCAAAATATTTGATCCCGGAGTTGTGCAAACTCCAACTTGTATAAATGACAAATACAAATGACACCCACAAACAATTGCGTATGTCTAAACTCTTCGTAAATGCAATCTATCGCTCTAATCGAACGTTTCCATCCATAAACATCGCACCGTTTAATTTAAAACGTATACATAATTAATTCCGCTGCACATTTCACATTTTTTATTCGGGTATCATTTTTAAAGATGTGTTATTTAATATCTGCTGCATGCGAGCTGGCAATTACTTTTCACGTGCGAGTAACTTTACGAATTTTATATTCCACGTGAAATTCACGCTACAGTATCTCTTTGCCCAAAACAAGAACCATAACATAAACCGTTCACCTCATAAATGGTGTTACCTTAATCGGAATCCAAGGCAGCGTTTGTAAAAACTGGTAAAATTATTTTGTCCACTACTTCTGCATTGCTGCCAGCACACCGGGTCCTGAATTTTAATTTGAGCTACAAACTATTGGGTAGCTGCCTTTTTAGGTACAGGTAAAGTAAAACATATTTCACAATACCACGCGAGTGGAACACTACACGTAAACGTTTCATTGTTCGTGGCGCATTTAAATTAATGTATTATCATCATCATTATTAGGACGCAAGCGAGAAAAGCCATTACTTTTAATGGGTCGGCAACGAGATCCCAGCAAGGATCTCCTACCGGCAACGATCTCCCAGGACGGGGGGGGGGGGTACCAGGGCGGGTGGCAACCCACTGCAAACAGACCAACGTTGTTTGCCAGTGACGTCTCGCTTCGTGTTTTTTTTATTTTCCCTCTCAGAAATGACCCTGTGCGAGACGAACAACGGAGGCTGCAGCCACCTGTGCGTGGCCGCCGAGAGCTCCCACCACTGCGAGTGCCCTCGTGGGCTCCTTCTGGCCGAAGACAACCGCACCTGCCAGGGTAGGCGACGTGGGTGGTGGCGGTGGCGCTGGCCGGCCGACCGCCCGCCCGCCGGGGCCGTGGGCCACCGAAGCGAACTCGTGGGTGCCACCAGGCGGTGTCGAGCTCGGTGACCCCGCCGCATTTGTGACAAAAGAGTTGCGCGTCCAAATTTTCGGCTCGAATTTAATACCCCCTAAATGGACGCGAGATAATAATTCACGTTTCGAAGACAATCGATTCGGAGCCGATTGATCTCGTTCTTATCTCCATTTGTTTCTGCAACTCTATCTTTCCCCGCATCTCTCTTCCTCTCATCTCCATGTCGCTCTCCTTTTCTCTTCTCTCACGACATCCGAGTCTCTTGCCCGCATCTGTTCCGTCATCTCGCTCGGATGTTAGAAAATTGAAAGGGGCGGCTCCCAAACATAATGTCCGCTTAGGGCCCCCCCCCCAACCCCCGAACGTGCCGCCACTACCGCTGGGTACGCGTGCTCCGACCTGCTAATGCGCGATTTGTCGACACTTTTGGAGACGGGAGAGATTGCTCCGTTTCTCGAGAAGCAGTTTGCACAAATGGGCCATTTGTATGACGCCCCAAAAAAAAAAATCTCCACCGACTGTGAGGGGTGGCACAAAAAAAGGATGTTTAAATCGCTCTGGAAACGCATCAGCGCTTCGCTGTCTGGTCACAGTTTTGTTTTACCCTTTAAATTAGATTGAGCTGTAAAATATCAAGTTAATTGTCATATTAATAATTTAATAATCATGCTTTAACTTAATTATTTATCGTGTCGCACGCATTAGTCAAATCGCACTGCAAATTTTTATCACCCATTTCCAAACCCATTTTTACCAGATGGTGGTTCTCCTATTGCACATTGCGCGCACCAAATTATGAACCAGGCCTTATTTAATCGCCATTTGTAGCACTGCCGTGCGCCGTGACTCAGAAAACATTTTCGGAAGCCGGTCCTAAATTACTTCTGAAGGAAAGGCGAGATCCTTTGGGAGCAATTAAGAAATGTGTAACTGCATTGATGATGTAAAATAATCGGAGCACAGTCATTTTATACTTTAAACAGCATAAATTATCATAAATTGCCGAATTTAGTTGGAACTTGAATTTTTATATAGCATTTGTTCCTCTGCAAATCATTACATGGGGCAGCATTGGTAAACAGCGTGCGTTTGTGTCTGTGTTACATGAGCGGTGGCGCAGCGCTTAGGGCACTGCGCTACGAACCTGACCAACCGAGTTCAGTTTAATTTATTTGGTATAGCCCTTTGAGCCATTCGGCTCTTGAGTCGGGTGCAACCGCAACAAACAAAAAACAAAATCACGAACAAGAAAACATCTTAAAGTGACTATGCGCAAAGAACCGTCAACGTCACTGAGAAAAACCCGAACTGGTCCCGCACCTCCGAAGTTCACTCAGCCACAAAGGAGTACCTGGTGCAGTGCGTAAACATTGGCACCGGTGAAACAAAGGCGGCGGTTCTAGCCACACCATGTCCCCGTTCTCCATGCCGGTGTTTGCTAAAAAAAACACTTGTCCCAGCAGCCTGTGCAGAATACCCGGGGGATATTTGTGTCTGGTGTGTGCTGTGTGTGTGTGAGTGAAAACGTGTACGTATGTACGTGTGAGAAATGTCTTTTTTTGCAGTTCCCGTGAGATGCAGCCCCGACGCTATTGATGTGGCCGTGCCAAAGGACCAGGTGCGAGGACTGGAGCTCTTCCTGGCCAACGCCTCCTGTAAGGGCGTCTCCAACGGTACGCACGTCAATGTGCACTTTGGCCTCAAGACGTGCGGCACGACATTGGAGGTAACACCGCCTCGGATCGATAGCACCAACCCAGCACGCCCGCGCGCGCACGGCGGTGGAAATGCTTCGCGAAAGATAACAACTCGCCGGGATCGTTTCCTCTGTGTCGCGGGGACGTTTCCGCATACAAATCGATGCTTCTTTCGGCAGTCATGGGATTGGTTGTTGAATTAGCAGCGTTGAGGCTCTTTTGACGGTTGTTGTCTTTGTGCGCGCGATGGAAGTTGCTGTGCTGTGCGCCGGCAAGAGCAAAAGCATTCCGTAACTTATCTCAGCAATGTGTACAAATGTTGTGGCCTGGAAATGCACACACACACACACACCCCCACGGCAGGTCACAGCAGATAAGATTATTGCAAGCAATGTCCTGACGGGAATTCCCAAGCAAGGTCCTGGAAGCAATGGCGACCTAATCATCCGCACCAGCAAGCTTCTTATTCAGGCACGTATCAGGCCGATCATCTCGATATTTTTACTTGGTTTACCTCCGCTTGTTTTCTTTCAGTTCATGCAGAAACACGACCCGCACGGTCAACATATAAACACTCCCTTGTGCTGGCCTTGCTAACGCATACAGTACCTTTGGTTTCAGTCCAAAGATCCCATTAGGAGTAATGTGCAAGGAGAAATCAATGTAATATGGTTTACGTAGAGTCTGGCTCGGTGCCAGCTCAAGACATCGTGACATTGAGGCCAAGCTGCACCGATTTCTACGAAGACATTGCACGTCGCGGCGCGTGCGAGCGTGCCCGCGTCGATATTGTACGCGGCCATGGTCGATCCGCTGCTGGATGAATTGCCTCCCCCAAGCCACCGCCACAGATGACAATCTTCCGATGCGATAACGCACCCAGCAACTGCGCACGCAAGCGATTTTGTCGCTCCATCTCCTCAGTGGACATCCTCGTGGGCGATTTCAATTCCTGGGCTGCAAATATGTTATTGTCCATCATCCGTTTTGGGAACATGTCTTGCCAAAACCCACTTAGTAAAAGTCTATATATGAACATTATGGTGGTACCCCGGGGTAGCATAATACCCCGGCTCTCGCATAATGTCCGTGATGCAGTCATTTTTAGTCTGTTGATGGTCGGCAATGCGGCAATGGACTCATCTCTACGAGCTGTACACGATGCACTATTCAAAGTAGAATTTTTCGATAATGGATTGTTTATGCTGTTTGGCGTTTCGACATCGCGAAGTAGCACTGATGTCGGATTGATTGGTACCCCAGTTGCGGAGTTAAGTACAACCCCTGGGAAAAAAATAGCGTCCCAGAAATAACATATTTAATTGCCTCGGCCATTTTGTATTATTTGGTGGCCCGGAGGTACCGCCATAAGGATCATATCATGTTAAAGAAAAACTGGAATAGCTCTTTGCTGATTTTACACAAGTGTAACATCGCTATAAAAGCAGTAAATCTGAATGACTTTCCAATTAATGAAAACTTCCACGAATCGATGAGGAAAAACAACTGCGGAGTAGTAAATCTTCATTAATCACATTGTTCCATGGAACAATTGCCGAATTGCTAAAAATATATTTCGCGTCTTCCTCGTAAGCAGGAGGCCAGGGGGTATTACGTATGGAGGGGAGTCGTGCCCAAATTAAATGTACGCAGCTGCCCATGGTCGCGCGCGTGCCGAAGTTTAAACAGGGCTCTATTTGCGACGCGGAGGTTCGTCGTATTTTGAAAGTGGCAGATAATCCGTTTTCCTCTTCTTCATTTGTGACTTTATTTCTACTTTTTTTTGTTATGCCTTTTATTTATTTCGGTTATATTTTCCACTTTCACCTGGAGGAAAAGAAGCAACTGGCCAGCCCTTAGATAGGAGCTGTGGTGCACACCTATTGTAATTTAGCGTAGAACTTGGATGAGTAGTCGTATTAGTCGATTAATCAATCAAAATTTTAAATTCACTATTTTTGTTGTGGTCACCCCGACATCCTGCCTCCCGAAGGTGGGAAAACCCCTACAAGCCACGCCCATCCAGCGGCACACGTGGACACATAAGGGAGACATTTTCCCCCAAACTATTATTTTGTTATCTGATAAGATGCGTAATTGAACCGATAATATCATCGGTAGAGTGATCAATTACTGAGATAGCTGGACAGCCCGGCTCTAATGTAATTATTTTAATGTGGAGTTGGTAAATAATGTGGCGACGAATCAATAACGCGCATGAGATACCCACCTTGTATAGCAATTGGGTAGCACAGCAAATGTTTCTGAAACGATAATTACGTAAATAAGTGCTGTGCTTTTAGATGCGTTGCTTTTTCTATGGGCACTCCAGCTATCGTGGTGTAACGGTGAGCACAGTTGACTTGCAATCCAGTTCTACCTGCCACAGGAGCAGTTGAACGGATGAGCAAGCGTCTGTTATTCCCCTATGAACGGTTACATCTCATTAAGGCCATCGGCAGGGTGTTGTCCGGTTGTTGCAAAGTGTGAGTACTCCCACCTCCTCCAAGGGTGTCTGGCCAGTCTAGAAGACGTGGCTAACGCCCTCCCCAGCGGTCTTGCACGGAGCTCCCTCCAATGGAGGTCCTTCCTTCAGCCAGCAGCGGCGCGAGCGGGCAATTGCAGGGCTGCGCCTTCACCTCTCACCTCATCCATGGCCATGCTCCAGTTTCCCAAACACATTGCATCTACCAACAAAATGCAGAACCATGCCTCTCTCTCTCTCGCAAGACAAGTCGCAAAGCGAGCCGAGGCGGAGGACCTGATGGATGTGGCCCATTGTGACCTTAGGAGTGGCTCGAGGTTAATGCGAGATCTATTCTCTGATCAAATTCAGCACTTTTGGTCTGTCGGGACCAGGAGGTGAAACCTGGATAAAATGTAAAATATGGCATCTGCAATCAGCCGCAGGTCTTTTGGGGGTAAAGGCAACTGGTAGCAAAGCTATAATAGATGTAAAGGCGGTGATTTGGTCTGCACACCGTTATTGTATGTTGGGTTGAACGTATGGGAAATTGGGAGTATTTGACGGGCGATGCTTTTTCATTAGCATGGCTGGTGTGCCATTGTTCATCTCATCCAAAACAAGAGTCAGTGGAAATTATGTAAGTTATGGCCAGGCATGATTCCAAGATTTAAAATAAAAAAGTAGGGCAAAGTCAAGATTCTCAAATTTTCTTTTTTTAGTTTATACGCGGATTGCCTGGCCGAGTCTCAGGACCAGATTTATTTTCCAGGAGAATCTATCTCGTGGCATTTAGCCACACTTTTCTTTTTAAGTCTTTACGGCGTGTGGGAGAACACCCAGAGTGGGATGATGAGAACACTCAGAGACTTCACGAAGGCCTTTTCATAACCCTAGAGAGTCAGCGTACTCCCTCCGTACGCGGAGGGAGTCATGCGGGGTGATTATTGCAGGCAAAGAAGCATGGAGGGTTACAGAGATCCGGAATCTGCGTGTGCGCAAACGTGCGCGGGACAGACGCACAGCTTGGGATTACGTTGAGAAGCGGCGAGAAGAATGCGCTGAACACGCGCAGGTTGAGAGAGGCATCGTTAAAAACGCGCAGAAAGGTGGTTGGGTTTAGGCAGAACATGTCGTAGCTCAAAGCGGGGATGGTTGCCAATGGGTCGAGAATGACGGCGGCGAGAGGGTGGTCCAACAGGGAGATGGAGCCGTGAAATCAGCTCATGTGCAGCGAGCTGCATTGTGGATTATTATACACCGCAGGATTATGGGATATCGCTTCATCCAGCAGCGGATTGACCGTGCCTGACGATAATAACGAACGCCAATCCTCGTCAACCCACACTTACCAGCCTGAAGAACGATCAAAAGGATTTAGGAGGCCTTCATCCAGCAGTGTATCGATCACGCCTACTGCTGCTACCTCTGCCGACGTTGGATCCGCTTCACGGAAACTCGCTCGCTTCCCCCCTTCCTCAGGTGTTCTGCGAGTTCCCCCGTCACGAGCTCCTCTCCCAGGGCTTCCTGCCCAAGCCGGGCAACCCCATCCCGAGGCTGTGGGGCCACAGCCAGGGCCACTTCCCCTTCGCCCTGCTGCTGTACCGCGAGCCGAGCTTCGAGGCGCCCGTGGGGCCCGGCGAGATGCCCCTCGCCGTCAAGCTGCACCAGCCGCTCTACTTCGGCCTGGCGCCCACGACTCGTCTCGACGGCCTCGAGGTGCTCGTTGAGCGCTGCTACGCGACGCCCGGGCAGAACGGCAACCACCTCGTCAAGTACTTTCTCATTCGAGACGGGTAATGAACTTGGCTCCGCGCCCCCCCCAACCCCACCAGCGGCCGTCTGGAACGCTCTCCCCACAGATATTAGGAAGCCGCTGGAGCTGCGCACTTTTAAATCTAGATTTGAAACTCATTTCTTTAGAGCTCCTTTTTGTGTTTAGTTTGTTGTCCTAATCCCCCGCATCTCCAATTAACACGGTTGGCTATGTACGGTGCGAAAGAAGTTCGACATACATTCTCGGTTCTATATGCCGTACACATCAATTATAATCGTTATCAGAGTTTACCTATTGCACTCCACACCCAATTAGATGTCGTTCAAGCACTCAATTTTAATTGCAAATTTTTTTCCCTCTTGGAGATGGTTGGTTTGAACGTTGTTTTAAATAATTGCATGGTCGGATGTTCGAAGAGTGCCACCAGACAGCATGAGAATCATTGACAAGATTTTAACTAAAACAAACCCCTGTAATTATTGTCCTTCATAGTAAATGTGTTTTGTTAACTTGAGCATTCTTCAATATACCTAATTGTTTTGTCGTTTCAGTGATAAGTTAAGGAATATCCAGGTCTGTGCTCTCTCCGATTGCCTGGGTGAAAAGTGGGCGACGTCTTTGCCCAATCGTGGCCTTGCCGGCTCAAAATCGGATAAATAAACTACGTGGCGGCATTCTTGCAAATTTTATCTCAAAATGCATGATATTTTAACCCACCACACAAACACCGTAACCCCCCCCCACCCGCCCCCAAACAAATTAACATGATAAGACAGGGACGAGACGAAGAGCACGAAGGCGAGCGATGTGTGGACCACTTGGGGAAATATCAATCACTCGAGGACTCGAGTTCATAATAATAATGAGGATGTCAACTTGTAAAGGCGCCGCGCATGATTATTCGTTCAATCTCGTCCAGAGAAGAGAACGACTCGGAGGTGCAAAGGAACCACAGAGGAGCAGAAAGGCAGCCACGTAAACACATCCCGAGAAAACTAGGCGTGCGTTCACGATTTTAGAAATCTGAACAAAAAACTAAATTATTGTGTGAATTTTGAAGGTTTATTAAAACCATTCATTCGTTTCGGGGATTGATCTGCAAAATGTCACGTCGAAGTGTTGTCGCTCTCATGACATCGCGTCTCGCACCTCTTGATTAGCTACGGGTTGGCTACGTACGGTGCTAAAGAAGTTCAACAAACATACCGTACTTGCATACGTCCGCGAGTTTACCACCAGGTGGCGTCACGTGTCATCGGGTGGCCTAACTTTTGTTCGCACGTCAGATTAATTGCAAACTCGAAATGATCCGAAAGTTTGAAAACATTTCCAGGCTTGTCTTCAAATATCCCAAAAAAATCGCAAATCCTAAAATGTGGAATCTAAAATTAGTTTCTCGAATACGCAGATGCAGAGAGGTTTATTGAAACGCGATGAGAACATCCTGAGAAGTCTCTTTTTTTGTTTTGAAAGGGAGACACCTTGCCCACAAAGCAACACGTTAAATATTTGAACAGTTGAAATCACACATCGATTGCTCAAATCGACATTAAATATTCAGCAGTTGGGAATAAAGTATAATACGTTTTTAAAATATATATTAATGAATAAATACATATTCTGACTGAATTTTATCCAGCTTTTAACATGGGTATGGTGTAAAGTATAAAAGCGAATTCATAATGAGCATAAAACAAATACAATCCCCATGAACAAAGAAAGAAACTTGGAATTAATGCTTTTTAAACGTGAGAGGGATGCAGTGCTGTTACACGCGTGAAGAACATTGCAGGAAAAATATTAAATGTCACATTCCATACTTACTCTTGGGATATAATGTAATACATTTGAGGCACTAATTGTTCATTTAAAACGATCTTTCGTTTACTCAGAAAAAGCCTCAATTGAATGTGAAGTTGTATTTTTGCACACGTGTGGAAATTGGAGTATAGGATGCAGAAAAACTGCACGCATATGCGGGGAAGGACGAACAAGAATGTTGTCAAAAGGTCAATTACCTACTTGCTGAACTATCATCTACTGGCACCTGCTGCCCTCTGAAATTGAAGTATCGTGAAAATTATAATTTGTGTATGGTGCCCAAAACGTTCAACCGTACAGCTGTATTGAAGGTGGATACAACCACGCCTAAATAATATTTTCTAAGCTATGAGACTGCCGTACCTCCTTTCAAGGTTAGCCATCATCCAAAACAAGTTTTCAGGAAGCGTTTGTGAATGCCACTAGGGACAACTAATGATCAGTCTGCTCTTCAACAACGTTGGCAGTGCAGTCTGGAATACGTAAGTATTTGATGTCGTTATGGGTTTCATTTTTATTTTATTACAAATATGCCATCAAACAAGGCAGATAATCTTTACTGAATGATCAGTACCGTGTAATTGATTAAAATGGAAAAGGGGGCACGTCATCCCTCCATGAATTGAAAAGTTTTCACATTCATCATTCAGTCGCTGTGACCTGAAAGCCTTTAGCTGAGCTAAACTGAAGGTTGTTCATGTGAATATCTTGTCAGATAGCATGTATGTATGTTGAACTTCTTTCACACTGTACGTACTCAACCTTGATGTTTGGAGGTGCGTTTAATATTATAATAATATCAGCATCACAAATGTTGTTTTGGCTGATGACAATTTTAGACTTTGGCCAGGTCACATTCCTTATGCATTGGAACGTGACGCATTATACATTGGATTCATATTTGTTGCATATTCGAAATTTCTTAAATAGATGCAACGTGTTTTTTTTAATGGAAATTAGTATTGGAGTTTTAGATTGGTTTGGAGGAATAAAGAAAGGTGTGTGCGTGTAGGCAAATAAAACGGTAAATAAATAAATATTCCCATGAAATGGATGGGGGGGGGGGGGGGGAGAAAAGCAATATAATGCATGATTTTATCAGTTCCTTTAAGGGGAAAAAATTAATTGCTTGTGAGCCGACGAATATAATCAGTGTGCAACACCACGCATAGTGCTGCTCCGTGTGTACGACTATAATTACCGCACAACAGAGATTTCTAAATCCAGCCCAATCTGTTACTGGATCGGTAATTGTGGGCCATTATTGAAGTTCAAATTATCTCCTTGTTGTGTGGATGTACAGGTGTCTCGTGGACAATACCATCCGACTCCTCCCTTCCAGTAACTTACTGAGCAAGCATTACCAGGTGCAAGTATTCAAATTCCTGGGAAAAGAGAACATGGTGAGTCTCGGTGGGGGGTCCCTCTACAATCGCTACATCGGAATCGGAATCTTTTATTTAGAATCCGATGAGCCGTGAAGCTTTTCTTTTCCACAGACGTCCAGTATGGACGGGTGAGCAAGTTACAAAACAGCCAATGATACAACAACAACGCACGATAGGAGTGCAAAACAGAGAGAATGGCAAGCAAGTCACAACATATAAATAAATAATGCATGATTTAGTGTCATAAGTCCAATTCTTCACGTTTGGGCAAGATAGCAAAGGCAACAACAAAGCAGTCCCAGACCACACCACGATAACGCCACACAGTAGTAGTCCCTCAATAATGCGGCACGTGAACATTTAACTCTCGAAGCGCTCTCATGCAACTGTCAGCCAATCAAGAGCACACCTACCACGAGTGATATTTCAGTCAATATTTCAAGGCATATTTCATCCACACACACAATACGTTTCACTGATCTTCAAAAAACCAAAGGGATTTCGTAACATAATAGGGATTTCTTCCTTTTTTAAAATTCCTACATGTATTTCAGAGGCATAAAAAAAAACACCATACAATAAGAATCCTATTGGGATGTGCGATGTCTCATTGATGAAGGAGTCCTGCTGGCATTCGTAATGCAGCAATTATTGCAGTGAAGTCAATTAGTCATGGGTGGTACAGCTGTCATTTTAATATAGTGTACATTTAAATAATTAATAATGATATAAATATCATTGAATAAAAAAACTTGCATGACGGTGGAAACACAGCAAGAAGCCACTGGGTTCGATCCTGACAAGGGCATCTTTCTTTAGTGAAGTTTGTATGTTCTCCCTGTGTTCTACATTGGATTTCATCTACAGTCTCTGGTTTCCTCCCAATGCTGATAAAATAAAACAACAACCAGAACGCACAATACAACTGGTATTGGCCAAACATCCCAATGCAAAACTAAATAACTGCAAATTGCTGAATTGGGATTACACGTAGCAATCATTCCCCCCCTACTGTGACTACTTGGCAGGACCCTTTTGAAAGAGTCTCGAGACTCGGTGAGATTTTCCTGGGTAAACAACCATCACAACAATACGACAATTCCAGCCATTGTGAATCACCCAATGAACGCCCAATCCATGCCATTTTGGTCATGGGGTGTTTTGTTTAACCCAAAATGAGTACGTGATGCGGTGTGTGGCAAACATCGCCACTGGGGAGGCGTGGCGCTGGGCACCCACGCCCTCGTCTGCCGTGACGGCCTTCATAGGTGCTGCTCGCTAACAGCACTTGACCCAACAGTCTCTTTGTCTATTTTTTTGTTTGACCATTCGGCACCACGCTGAGTCAGTGTGGGTTGGTGAAGGTGGGGGTAGGGTTGAATCGGTTCTGATATCACTCACGACTGATGTTAGCCGTGGCCGAGAACAAAACTCGTGTCGCCGTGATTTTATCACTCAGCACGCTTCACCACTTAACCACCGAACCAACCGCTCCCCCCCCCCCCCAAGTGCGTGGTAGACTCTTAATAGCGACCAAAAAAATCAACCTCAGTGAAAAAAAAGATCATTCTCAGTAAAGTGTTTTGTTGTTGTTGTTGTCGTCTTAATAAAAACACGCGAAAAATGCAAAGCCGAAGCTTTGGCGATTTGATTTTGAACCGAAGTGAAACAGGTTGAAGGAACAAACACCACTGCTAAGAGACACTGTTGTATTAAATTGACCCGTGCTTATGCTCCCTACGGTGCTTCTGCTGAGCGGCATCTCCCACTGCCTTCCAGCTGCTCCCCCCCACACCACCCACCTCGAGCTCCCTCCCTTTCCTTCTTCGGGGCGATGGAGGGGGAGGGTTGGTGGTTCACACGCATGCGTGAGCACATGGGTTGCCACCTCTGCGGTAAAAAAAAACATTGGGACGCGTGCTTTGTTCGTGCTGCCTCTCTCTCGTCTTCCATTTCAACGTTTTAAACTGTATTACAAACACCGTATATCTGGTTAGCATTGGAGGAATACGCCAATACCCTCTCGGGGAGGAGGGGGGGTGGGGATCTCTCTCGAGCTCTCTCTGTCGTGGAGGCCCTTCCGCCGGCAGTGCTGTGAGGAAGCAATTTCAGGGCTGCGCCTTTACCCTTGAATGCAGTCTTCCACATAACGTGACCCTCATTCTTCCTTCGTGATTCGGGTTGTCACGTCCGAGATACAAAAGCACCAGGAAATATCATGGGAAATGGGGGTATCGAATATAATACTGGAAGAGGAGACCTACGTGTAAATGCATTGTTGGTGTATTATTAATAAACTGACAAAACACTGGGATTTTTTCTGCTGTCCTGAAAACGCAGATTTCCCACGACAGCCACCTCAAAACTAGGAGGGGAACAACATTGTCCTGCCCAATATTGTGTTAGGTCAGCCAATCAGTGTCATGCATATGCATCGAATTACATTTGTTTTGCCCTTTCTCTGTTCACTGCAGTCTTCAATAACGCTACTAAATTATCTTGGCCTGCCTGCATCTTCATTTGCACACCTCTGTCTTGTCGTAGTCGGTCATGCTCAGCTCTTTTGTGGGTAAGCAGTCAACGTCATTAATGGCGCCCGAGGTTATTGTCAGCATCCACCCGGAGCGATCGTTGACTAAAAATGCCCCCCCCCCCAAAGAAAAAAAACCCACTTGATTGACACAATTATTATTTCGTTTCTCGTTCGTTTCGCAGTCCCCTTGTCACTGGTGAGGGTCGCGGCAGCAGAAAGATGAGTAGGGCGGCCCAGATCTCCTTTTCCCTGGCGACACACTCCAGCTCTTCCTGGGGAATTCCCAGGCGTTCCCAGGCCAGCTGAGCGACATCGTCCCTCCAGCGTGCCCTGGGCCGGCCCCGGTTACTTCCTTGGCTAATCCCCAACGCCGCCTCCGCCGTCCCCCCAGGGGAGCGAGCGATCGAGCGCACGAGCGCGCGGATGTGACACCTGCTGGGATGGCTGTGTGTTTGCAGGAGGTGTTCCTGCACTGCGAGGTGACCGTGTGCCAGGCGTTCGACGCCGCGTCGCGCTGCTCCCAGGGCTGCATGCGCCGCGTGCGTCGCTCGGCGCAGGGCGGCGGTGCCAGGCCGCGCCTCGCCGGGCCGCGGATCCCCGTGATCACCGGGGGCCCCATCGTCATGCACTCATCGACGACGACCTAACTCCTTGGCTCGCCTGTTCACGGGCAGACCTCTCAGTCCTGCGTCTCCGCACGCAAATACAATATACAGTATGTATTTTAACTCATCGACCTATTGGCTTTCCAGACCGATCGTATCCAGCATAAATTTGTTTAAGCGAGCAAAGTCTAGACGAGTATTGACCTTCTGGGTCTCGTCAGCAGAGCTGCTCAGTGCCACGTTGCCATTTTCTAAAGGTGGCCGTGAAGGCGTCGATGCAGCCGACCGCAGTAACAAGACCAACAAACTCCACGCGTTCGTCAATAGCACTGTGTATGTGGCCTTAAAATGAAAAATAAAAAATGCATTCAAACCATATGAAGAGAAAGGCCAGAGAGACAGGGTGGTCATACTTCAGAAAGATTACCTCTGGAATTTCAAATGTGGAATCGAAATTCATCATAATTCGTCATCATCGAGTGTCTCATTCACAGCAGGTTTCCATGTGCAACCCTCTGAGACACGGTTCTTCTTGGTCTGTTCTCTTTGGCACGGCCCCCCCACCCCCCACAACTCGGCCCTATTGAAACCGTGACCATTTCTGCGTGGCAAAAGCCACTGTGCAGGTTTTTAGGGTCGTACCGAGCGATGTCCGTCACGATGTCCGACGTTTTTCTCCGCGTGCTGGGAGCTTCTCCGGGAAACCGAATTCAGTAGAGCGAAGTGTCGGGCATCTTGCGGCGAACAAGTCACGGTACGACCAGAGCCACGTTGATATCTCGACAGGTGGTCACTGAGGCCTCCGTGCAGCAGTCACTTCTTCTCCAACCAATTATTATATAATAGCCGACCAAATAAACTTACTTTTTTACACGTCTAATAAATCGCCAGTATAACGCAGGATAAATGTGCGTGACGCTTGGTAAGAGAAAGTTTTTTCCTTTATTTTTGCGTACGGCGTCAGTTAACACAATGCCCGCTTCGAAAGCTTGTCCATAAACCCCCGAATCATAAAAGTTGGACTCGCTTTTTGTGACTATGCTACTGACGTTTCATCTTCTTTGGTTCTTTCGGTAAAGTCACGTAGAATGAGAATAAAATAATAAATTGATAAAATAAAATAACATAACACAATAATATTCTCACGACGTTTCGGCCACAACACAAGCGGCCTTCATCAGGTGAAGGGACGAGACTGTCTGGTAGGACAGCGCTGGAGTGAAAGAGCCACGTTCAGATCACGACCTTTAAGCTGATGAAGGCCGCTTGTGTTGTGGCCGAAACGTCGTGAGAATATTATTGTGTTATGTTATTTTATTTTATCAATTTATTATTTTATTCTCATTCTACGTGACTTTACCGAAAGAACCAAAGAAGATGAATCATTGCAGTCACGAAAGCTTTAAATCGAAATTTTACTGACGTTTCTTTCATATTTCATGAAAAAAAATTAAAATGTTTCATGGGTAGTATTAGACCAAAAAAAAGTGTAGTTCACAAAGTATTGAAACTTCAGATTACATATATTTCATGCCGTTTGCTCTGAAGGAACATATATATTTTATTCGGGAGGTTGTTAATGAAATATTTTAGCACTCAAAAAACCCATGACAAGTGCACTTGCAAGGTAGCTCACATCTTTAGTGAAATGCTTCCAGCCTGTATGGGTGTGCATAACGGGCATAATTACGTGCAGGAATGTTTTATGCCAGCAAGTATTAACGAGAAAGAAAAATCATACCGCTAAGTAAGAGCGAATGTATCTGGTGAGACACCAACGGGTTTCAACGTGGCCATTGCACATGCATTGAGGCAATATTCTTGGAAATGTCATGTTTATTTTTTTCTAATGAGATTTTCCATTATTGATATTGATGTGTAGTAGATTAAAACCCTGCAATGTAGGTGAAGTTTAAGTTTCTTAGCGGTAATGTTAAATAAGAGTGCATACGTTAGGCCGATGGATACTGTCATTTAATATTATCACATTTAATCAGTTTTATGCGTTTTTCTTTGCTCTGTTCTCTATGCCATTGCACACAATATTATTAATGATTAATAATACGAATGTGTTACTCTTTTCAGTTTCATATTGCGATTTTTTTTTAAATTTCATTTACATTTTGTATTATGTACCGCATTTCATTCTTGCAACTTGGTGTGTCCTTTTTTAAATGAATAATCCTTAATAATATTTTTGGAGTATTATTGGGAGCTTCAGAAACACGTGATACAATTCAACATATCTTAAATATAGAATCGTTTTGTAATTACAGCATAGGAACTACTCACAGTTCCATTTGTTTCCAAGGGATCACTTTGCTCAACATCGGCGCATTGCATTTGTCAGCACTGGGGAAGAAAATAAATATACTTTCACCTTCCCACTAACAGCAACCACCACAGCAAAAAAACAATGAGAGCCCTGGTTACTTTCGGCTTTGAAGAACATAAACAACCCCTCAGCTTTTTCATGTTGTGTTGCATTTGTGTTGAAACGCGTTTAAGAACTGGACGTCGTAATGTAGAACAACTGAGGTTTTACGCAAATAAGAGAGAAAGGTGCAAATTGTCACAGTTTGACGGCGCTTTGCACAGGCCCGGCCGTGTGGTGGGGCTGGAGAGGCCTCAGCCCCACCTCCCCTTCACAATTCTTATAGACAGTGGCCTTTAGACATCCTGAATAAAAAGCAATATGCAAGGAGAGAATAGTCAAGTCAAAAACACGTCTACAATGTTTAACACCAGTAGCAGGCTTTTTTTTCTCTCTCTCTCTCTCCGAAGTTGGCCAGTTTGACGGACACTCAACCATAAGTAATAATAATGCACCCATGCACATCTGCTTCAGTTGAGTGAATTGTCAGACACTTAAAGGCTCGCCTACCATAAGCGATGGGCACATTTCAGCCTTTCTTCATAAACGCCGGGTGCTGAGAGCTCAAGCGTGGAATGCACGACAGACGAAAGAAGACCATCGTGTTGGTACTCCTTCTGTTCGCCGTCTAACTGACCCGGCTCACAGCAGCTGGAGTCGCCTCGTCATTGCCCCATGCATCCGATCTGTTCGTCATCCTTTGCCCTCGTCAATTTTGCTCCCCTCTAATTTATGCATCATAGACTCCCAAATGACTTCCCCTCATCCACGTTATTCGCTCTCATCTCCGCCATTACATTCATACGCGCCGTTCGTAATTTTCTGCAAAGCGCCTCGGTGAAGGCGCCAAATAACAAGTGGGAGCCCTGACTTGAACAGTTTCCCAGGCGGACGCCGGTAAGAGGAGGACGTGGAAGACGAGGGCAGTAATTACGGTTCAGCTGATTGATTAATTGGATAACTCGTATTGTCAAAAAAAATCACTGCGACTTAGCGGCATTCGGACAGTAAAATGAAGTGCTGTTCTGCAATTTTTGGCAAGTCGGTGACGAGGTGAGATGTGCAAATTTCCATTCAGATTGAAAAAAGCAAGGACCGCGTAAGAATTGAACTAAGAGCAATCAACTGCAAAGCATTTATTTTTTTACTCCACGCCGGCCGTAAACCGAAAGAATATGTCTGTCCTAGTACTATACTTTATGGCTATTTCAAAGTTAAAGCTTCAAATCTGATGCCTTAAGCCTCAACTGGATGATGCATTGGAAGGGGGGGGGGGGGGAAAGAGGCCTGCCCCCATCAGTCCAATTCAATCGCGACAGTTACCACGGCGTGTTGGGGGGTGGGTGGGGGGGTGGTGCAGCTTGGCCACGTGTGACGGGAACTCTGCTATCATCCCCCCGTGGTTGGGCAGCCGGCTGCAGCGCTGCCCAACGTGAGCTGTGGGGGACAGGTGGGACACGGGTGCGACTCGGGCAGGCGTGCGGGCTTTAATGAAAAAATCAAATGGGGATAGGAATCAAAGGGCTCAATCAATTAGGACACCTTAAAAGTGAATGCTACGTTGGACGCACTCCTTGCAGGAGGAAAGTGGGAAAGCGATTGAAGGCATAGATGCTGTCACCTCGCAATTTCTTATTACCTCCTCTGTACCGCGTTTATCAGATGGGTGCGCTTTGTCCCGAGACGTATTTTTAAATAATTTATGGAGGGGGTCGATTGTCTAGAAACAATAATTTGCTTATGCAAACAGTTGATTTGTTTTAAACACTAAATATTAATGGGGTTTGCATATTTCACTAGGATTTTACTAATTCGTATGCATCTGAGCTTTTCTGGCCAGGATGACTGTACCAGTCAGATTATCCATCATGCATTCACATGCCGAGCAATCGTAAACGAACACTGCTTGTATATCTCTGCGGCCGTAACAATGATTATAATGATACAATTAGCACCTTTTCGGGTGAGGGTTATGGTCAGCCCTTGTGTAGGGGTTGTCTAGCCATACTTCACCACATTCTGTCAGTGCTGGTTGGCGAAGACAGGGAAAGAGCGGTTCAGAACTGGATCACACATAGCGCTTTCCACCTATGGCTTGGAGTTAAAAGCTCAAATCATGAGGTTCATGATGCATTGTGCAAACAACTGTACCGTCGTTCCACCCACTACTGCTATAATTACACTCTTGATAATTTGATAAAGAAGGTAAAAAAAACACTCAAATGTAGCTTTATATTGCAATATAAGCACGATGGAGAATATTGTTCCTGTGGAAAACACAATTGAAATTATATGCAAAATAATAAAACGTAAATGAAGAGTACACACACACGCATATACACGCATACACGTGTGCAAATGTGCACGCTGTTCAACATGCCAATTAGGTTAGTCTTCTTGTGACCTATTTTGCAATAAAAGTAAATGCATTAAATCTTAAAGCTGCCCAGTGAAAGCATGCACAGAATTCCATAACCGGTCGTGGAGCTCAATAAGATTTGCTTCAGCTCTGTATATTTATGCAAGTGTGTACAAACATTGGGTGCCTACTACACCACGTCAGCTAGAGTTATTTCCAATTAATTGTTGGATCAAAACACACTGTAGAGTTGGCACGCAATGGCGTGTTAATAATACAAGATGGACTTTTTGTATGACTGCACAACTTATAAAAATAAAGGTATTTAATCGTTGCAAACGAAACACACCCAAATTAAAAACTAAACAAAAGTGCAAATATAGCATGTGAGCAGGAGGCACCTGAAAAAGTAGTCGCATGTGCAAATAACCAGTATATTATAGTCAAGTGACATACACCGCAAATCGAAAAAGACAGTGCAAATGTGTGGGAGAACGAGGTGCCAGAAAAAAAAGTTAAGTACAGGTGGAAGAAAGAGAGATCCGACTGGGGGATAAAGTTGTTGGTATAAAAACCCTATGCAAACGCAACACGTTTGACCAATCGATGAGGTTACTGGCAACGGTGTGCGTGCGGTCCGCTTAA